TGAGAATGAAAGAACTGTATGTATGTCATGTTGATTTTATTCTGTTTGTATTACAGTGGTACCTCCGGGTTACGGACAGGATCCGTTCCGGAGGCCCAGCCATATCCCGAAAAGTACGTAACTGGAGGCACCCTTCTGCACATCCCGCATTCGCAACCCGAAGTTTACTTATCCAGAGGGATACGTAAGCAGAGGTATGACAGTGCTGTGATACTGAGGAAAGGGTGCAGAAATGATTTATGTTTAACAAGGATTTAAAATGGTTTTACTATGTCCTACCCCCCCCCCCGACCAAGGTTGAATGGACGGCAATTAAAATGATTTATAGATAAGACCTGTGGGGAGGGAGAAAAGGCCCAAAGCAGATCATCCAGTGAAAGTTTGTGTTAAGGGAAAACACCAGAGTAGAACTACAATGGCACAGTACGAATATGTTATCTGGGAGCTATTTTTAGCCTGCAAACAAGATGGCTTGGAATGTGACTTTGTAAAAGTCGCAGGGAATGAAACAAAGAGGACAAACCAATGTTCCTCCATAACAGGTCTGAGAACAGCGACTTGAATTTTACAATAGCAATTGATAGAATTTTCACAACAGGATTACCGAGAAAATTAGGGGGGGGGAGGGCAAATATGCTTAATAAGGAATTTAAAATGATTTTACTACACCCTACACCCCAGCCCAAGGTTGAATGGACTGCAATTAAAAGGATTTATGGACCTGATCTGTAGAGAGGGAGAAAGGTACCAAAGTGGATTATATGGGAAAAGACTTTGTGTCAAGGAAAAACAAGCTATTTTTAGCCTGCAAGCAAGATGGTTTGGAATGTGACTTTGCAAAAGTTGCAGGGATGGAAACAAGAAGGGAGACCGAATATCCCTCCACAACAGGTCTGAGAATATTGATTTGAATGACTACACATGTGAAAAGGAATCTGTACTTATGGAAAATAAGAAGTCTACTGTTTATAAAGATGATATATCGGCAGCAGTGAGAATGGTTTACAACTAGCAAAGATTTTAAGTGGATTTTAAGAAAAAATGAAATGGCAAAAAAAGAAGAGATGGACATATGCTGGCAACAGGAGTGGGAAACCTGATTTTATAAAACTGTATTAAATTAATTAGGTTTGATTTGTAATAATTTGGAAAATCAATAATAAAAAAGAGAGGTGCCAAGGCCTTGCTGTGGGGTTTAGACAGACTCTTCTTTAATGTGATAAGGTAAAGGAACCGCTGACCATTAGGTCCAGTCATGACCGACTCTGGGGTTGTGGCGCTCATCTCGCTTTACCGGCGTACAGCTTCTGGGTCATGTGGCCAGCATGACTAAGCCTCTTCTGGCGAGCCAGAGCAACGAACGGAAACGACGTTTACCTTCTCGCTGGAGCAGTACCTATTTATCTACTTGCACTTTGAGGTGCTTTCGAACTGCTAGGTTGGCAGGAGCAGGGACCGAGCAACAGGAGCTCACCCAGTCGCAGGGATTTGAACCGCCGACCTTCTGATCGGCAAGTCCTAGGCTCTGTGGTTTAACCCACAGCGCCACCCGCATCCCATCTTTAATGTGATACAGCTCAGTAATTTCCTTCCTTCCCAGATATTTGCGCTTTTTGGTCCTTTTGGTATTGACTTTGAGGTGCGCTCTTGCTTTACGAAATTAAGTACCTCTGAAAGCGTCCAGCCGTGTTCTTGGGCTGTCATCTTTCTCCTCGGGGAATGAATGCTCTAGGAAGGGACACAGAAATACGCTCCTGATGAAGGTGTAACTCATGGAATTCTACTCAGTATTGATCCAGAGCAGAACTCTGACGTAAGTTAGCAGAGTAAATACTTAAACATGTTGCAGGATTCTCCCCAAAATAGACCAGAGGCATTTATATTTCATCCAGCAGAGCTTTACTGCTACTGAAGGCAAATGTGCATAATGGTCACAAATCTCATACATTCAGGATCGGCACAGTCCATAAGAAAACTAATTGCAGCAGACTTAACTTAAACTTACAGTAACTTATAATAAGACTAAACCTTATTAAACTTCTGGAGACTCTGTGAGCAAAACATTTACTTATTTTCAAAGCTAAGTACCGTATTTTTCGCTCTATAACACGCACCAGGCAATAACACGCACGTAGTTTTTAGAGGAGGAAAACAAGAAAAAAAATATTCTAAACGAAATAGTGGATATATGATTTTTGTGGTTCATGCTGTGGCCACAGACGTGATCTGACAGTGAGTTTGGAGTAGCCCAATGCAAAAATCCTGAGGATCCATGTGGATCCATGCTTTGTAACCACGGAGGAGGGAAGGAAGGGGAACCATGGATCCTCTGCTCACGACTGCAGCAGATCCCACCCGCCACCCGCAGGCATTCGCTCCATAACACGCACAGACATTTCCCCTTAGTTTCTAGGAGGAAAAAAGTGAGTGTTATGGTGCAAAAAATACGGTATACGTGATTTGTTTTAGCCTAGGTTTTTTTGCTGGGGAATGTTTGTTTAAAGGTAGTTGAGGGTAGAAGTAACTAATGCAGTTTTAATGCGGTTGGAGCAATCACTGTTCTCCTTAACTCCACCCATGTACTTTTCCAGCAGATCATGTCATTGCTCCTGCTCTGAAAAAAGAATCCCAGAGCTGCACCCCCTCACTTTCTCCCTTCGTTACACCATTGATTAGGTGGGATTACTTATTTCAAGATCTATCTTCTCTTCCTCTGGGTGTTTCTGAATTTTACTTTCCTCATCACCAACTGAGCAACCTAGAAACAAACTAGTTTCTAGTAAAATGGGGTAGACATTCTGAACATTTGCAGTTATACAGCATGCTAGATCAGGGGATGAGAAACCTGTGGACACGCCCTCCTAAGGTTGTTGGACTACAATAGGCATGTCCAACTTCAAATAGGTTGTGAAATATTTTCCTGGACCTGCCTCAAAGAAATAGGTTTTAAAAAGGCAAAAACAAACCAATGGCTCCAGCCTCTGCTGCTAATCTGCAAACTCACCTGGATGGGATTCCGACATCAGGACTGAGTGGCCAGAACTCTGGAGCAGATTTTGCGTCTCATCTGTAAAGTGATAAGTGGTTTCTTAACTCATATGGATGTTGTGATAACAAGGAAGAAGGAAGATATATCTAAATGTTTTTAAGATTTGGGAAGAATAGTGGGACTCACCGTGTTTTTGAACTTGCAGGGCATGTTTTGAAGCAGGACATGCAACTTCTAAGCATTCCAGGAACTGGCTACAGGCAGCTTCCCCTTTTTCTTGTATCAGAATAAGCAACTCTCTACTTTTTTTCTTTGAGTCTTTGATTTTCTCCAGGCCCTCATATTCTTCTTTTGTGATGACAATCTCTGAGCGTAAGTCATCTAAAACACAGTCTATGTCCTTCTGAAGTATATCAATTAATTGCTTTCTCCCTTTGCGTATAATTTCATAGCTGGACATCATCTCTGAAAGCAGCAGTCTGTGAAAGAAACATTTTATTTAAAGAGCAAGAGGAGGGGGGAAAGAATTAGAATCTGTTCAGCTTTCAAAAGTTGTCTTATACCAAATCAGAATTTTTGTTTTTCTACTTCAGCTGAAAACTGTGGGTGGTTCCAGACTTGCTATTTTAGGGTGGGATTCAGTTGCTTACCAGCAAATTTATTTTGCACAATTTAATTTGACTCTTAGCACATGCACAACAAAACCCCTCCCCTCCTCAGACAGACATTTTTGCATGCAGGAAATGCACTGGAAGGTTTGGGGTGATACTTGTGTGAGGGAGATGGAGCAGCTGCAGAAAAGGGAGAGAGAGCCACAAGCAGACCTCGAGCCCTTGGCACGGGGCTGCATTGGTGCCTCTGAAGCTGGAATAGACCATGGGCCAGAAACGGCTTCTTTTTGTTGCCTTTCACGCTCTGCCAGTGACTTCCTCCAGGGCCACTGGGGTCAGGTGTCCTTCCCTCCGCTTCCTCCTCCTCCATTTGTCTGCCTGCCTCCTCCCACTCACTGCTTTCCCTTCTGTCTCCTTCCCTCCTTAGCAGAGGAGCATCCCGCGCAGTGTACTGACAGACAGGCTCCTAGCCACTCTAAGCCAGAGTGGAGAGGTGCAGATTTTGGAACACACACCCATGGGTGTAGCCAGGATCTTTGTTAGGGGGGTCCCAGAAAGTTGGAGATCACCCCAAAAGGTTTGAGCTAGGAGGGACAGGCTTCTGCTAGGGGCACAGAAACGTAATTAATTGAGTATTTTTTAATGCTTTTCAATAATTTCTGAGGATGTGCAGCTAACAGGAAGTGGTGATTCACTCCATGCTGTGAAATGCATCTCTGCCTCTTCTGTGCAGCAAAAACCACAGTAAAAGGCACAGGACACAGCATTTTTTCTGATCAGTTGGTAACCATACTGATTATGCTTACCAGTTTTACATTGACCTGTATAGGTTTTTGAATAGGAAGAACACAATGCAACAACTTTCCCAAAAATATTTATTATTAATATTATTTATTATTATTATTAAATTAAAGAACTATCTAAAATCACTTTTGTGTTGTTCCCACAAGATATATATATATATGCTACTGAAGGGACCACTGATTTCGGCACGCAGTAGATACTAATATCACCCCAAATGTGGGGTGGGATCTTTCACAATTGGAAATTCCATTTAATAAGGAAGAGTTCATGAAATGTACACAAACTCTAAGCATTCACAGAAGATCTGTATGCTTTGCATCTCATGCTGAAAGGGATAGAACCTACCTTCTTTTCTCTGTAGGAGCAGCAGAAAGACTTCTCAGCTCTAGCTAGCAAACACTTGTGCCTCCCCTATATTTAAAGGCAGAGAGCAGAAACTGAAACTGAAAGTCTCCCTCTGACATGGGTTCTGAGATAACACATGATTTCTAGTAAAGGGTTTCTTCATCCCCCTCCCCAAAATAGAATGTAGCGTCTGCCTGCAGGTTTCCCTTAAAAGGACTGATTAAGAGAGGGAACTTGAGTGCAGCGTTTGGGCTCTCCTCCACGCGTCTCTCGCTTCCATACATGTCGCAAGAACTTTGGCCTCAACCAGCGGCATCTGCCAAGCCGCAGCGACGGTGCTTTCGGAGGACGGCACCCCCGTCCCCTCCCTCCCTCTTTTTCGATGCTGCAGCCTCGCGCCTTTTGCTGGAAGGAACTAGCAACTAGCTAAGGTTCTGCTCTTTCCCGCTGCCCAGTCGCCCTCGGGTGGATTCGCCCCCCCCCCCGTGCCCGGCTGCTGAAGACCCTTCCGGGTCTGAGCGAGGACGACCCGAAGAAGTTCTCCAGACCCCCTCTACGAGAAGAAGCCTCTACGAGACCCCTGTCCTGAAAGGCTGTGCCCATTTCCCCGAAGCATATCCTGGAGGAGGCCGATGCTTAGCGCCTTACAGACCTGTTGATCACCACACTGCGTCCTGGGGACATCGATGGCAAGGACGAGGCGAGCAGCCTGGTCCTCTCCTTCACCAGGCCAGGTAAACCTGCGTGCGTCCCGATCGTCCCAGGAGTTGAGTCTGCCCTGGCAGCAGATTTCTTGGCTGCACGTGCCTTCATATGCAAAGCCTGTTGATAGCAATCAGATACACAGAAGCCACCTCCTAGGGGCCCGAGGAGGTCTTTGGCCATAAGCGTAGCCGGGGGGGAGGGCAGGAGGGCAGCTGCCCCCACCAAGTCAAGTCAGTAAATAAAAATACTTAACTGGCCAATTGCGTCCCAGATAGATCGGTTCTCCCTCCCCGCAACAAAAGTCTTCCCCTCCCCTAACATAAATTCTGGCTATGCCCATGCTTTGCCCTCCCCCAATAAAATATTTGAGGGGGGCCTCTTCCCCCAAGTTGATGGGCATTGCTATTCAAATAGTGTGTGTGTGTGTGTGTGTGTGTGTGTGTGCGCGCGCAGCATCATGTGCTTGATTATGCAGGGAGGGGCTTACCTGCCCCTCCCCCAATGTTTTATTCAGGTTGGCACCTCTGACTTGAGTAAAGAATTACTATTATTCCTTAGGGTGTTACAAATACCTTCAACACCCTTAGGATACACAGAACAGCAAAAATGAAGGAAAGGAATTGCCTCAGTCCTTTGGACTTTGGGTTCGGGTTGTCCTATGCAGAAGGCAGAGTCTTATTCCTCTCCTGTTTCAGCACTGCAAATATTTAACAACAGGCCTGTAATAAGTTCAGAAAGCTTGCAGGCCTTCCCAGACCATCTGGAACACCAGAAGCTCCCATCTAATATCTGAATTGGTCCATCTAGTAAGTTAGTCCAGGACTGAACCTGGGGCCTTCTGCATGCAAAGCATGTGGCCTGTCACTCAGCCCAGCCTGACTTACTTTGACTTTGAATGTGCTATGAAGGGAAGGGGAAATACTATATTTTATGCTGGTAAATGGGAGCTCACTGGATTCCCCCCCCCCATCAATATTATTACGCAAAACAGTGAGAAGAGCATGGCCTTCACATACCTTTCTACTGAAAACTCTGAAAATATTGAAGGAGTCTGAGCTAAAGAAGTTCAAGCGCAAACTCCACCATTTCCCCATCGAGAAGCGCTTTGTGAATATTTCAAAGGAGTTGCTGCAGGAAGCAAGTGTTTCGGACCTCAGCCAGCTGCTCCTCGTCTACTATGGCCCGGATTATGCCTTGCAAGTGACGGCCAGAGTTCTGAAAGCCATCAACTGTGAGCTGCAGGCAGACAGGGAAGGTAAGGAATTTGGGAATAAACAGCCATTGGTTTTGAACAATGCTCATCATTGCTATGTGGTGATCTGAACCCCGCAAGAAGTTTTGGGTCACACCAAATATCCACAATATGTAGAAAAAGAAAGAGGAAGTGAACATGTGTACCCCAAAATAAGCTCAGGGTCACTTCAGATAATATGGTCACCATCCTCTATTAGGTGGCATTGAGTTGTGTCCAGTCCAATGCTTTTGGGTGGCACCTCAGGTTAAGAACAGTTTCAGGTTAAGAACGGACCTCCGGAATGAATTAAGTTCTTAACCTGAGGTACCACTGTAATAGCCAAACTATGTGAAAGAAAGGAAGAGGAGGGAGGCAGGAAATTAAATGGCATTTTCCACAAAGGTTATTTCCCACAAATTTTCAGTGTAGTGAGTTGAAATAGTTTCTTCTAGACAATTTACAACCCCCCCCTAATATTTTTTGTAACAGTTTTACTTTATATATTGCTTAAAATTGAAAATCAAAACCATAGCTTATTCAAGGAGGAGAAATTGTGTTGTTTACTCAATCGGAAGGGGCCAACATTTGCTGCACAGATAAATTCTGCCGCCTTTGAATAACTTCCGATTGTGCGGTTTGGATGCAGTCAAGCCTGCTTTGACAACACAGACATTATATGGACTCTGCATTCAACTCCACTCCCACTTGCCATACACACTGGAAATATATTTGGGGTGGGGAGTCAGTGTGCCCCCCCCAGACATTGGATGGAGATTAAGAACATAAATAGTTTCACACCAATAAATTTTTTTGGGGGGGCATTTAAACAAATAAGACTATGGGGGAATAAACAACTGGTATGGATCTTTCCCATTCGCAGATGACCTGGTCATGCCTGCTGATGTGGACAGAATGCAGAGAGAGGTGGGAAAGGAACAAGTGTGGTAAGTTCATTGCTATTTTGCTTGGCAGCTCACAGAGAAAGGGCTAGGACTCCTGTCTGGCAGCATTTCACGTTAGTTGGCATGAGGCAACATTAGCAATTTCCTTGGGAGGGAGATGCAACTAGAAACAAGGATGGGCAAATCTGTTCCTAGGGTGGACCGTGCTAAGTTTTTGGGTGATAAGTAATAGTTTCCTGGTCAACGTGGGGAGACTCATCCTTGAAGAAATCTCGGGTGCGAGGCCAGAGGGCAACCTGTCAGCCAGTTCAAGCTTCTGTATGCTCGGCCATTGGTCATGCTTTGCAAGCAGAAAATGCCACTAAGGCCAGGCAATGGGGTACAACCTGGAGAAAGATGCAAAGTGGACCACAAAGACAAGATATATACGTGACAGTTATTAAAGTGGTGGCAAATCACATCATAGTTTCTTTTCATTATGGATTATTTAAGCATGTTTTCCGGGCGGCAGATGAGGGTCAGATCGCAGGTGGCCGAGAGGGTCAGCGAGGGCAGGAGACCAGGCGTGGGGAACCTCAGGCCCAACTTGTATCCTAACCAGATTCTAAGGCTTTCTTCCCCTCTCCTGATGCCTAAAACAAATGGAACATTTCTGCAACAGGCCACTGGAAGGAGTCGCAATCTCTGCTAAGAAGATTATCTGCAAGGGAAGGAAAGAATTAATTGAGATTCTTGGAAGGGACATTTTACATGTGTTGTACTCTCGCTATATTATCACACGGAAAGAATTCTGGGACTTGCTGGAAGCAGAGGAAGACTCCAAGGAGAAAAGTAAAAAATTGCTGCATATGATCCAGGAAAGGGGGGAGCAAGCTTGTTGCCGGTTCCTTGAATGTGTAGAAATGGAACATCCGGGTTCCATCCAGAATCTGCTGCTTGCAATACAAGGTGAGTTTGGCTTAGAGTCCAAGGACAATGCAACTTCCTCCTTCCTCCTTGCAACAATCAATTCAGGTAAAGAGTTGTATTTCTTTTACAGGCTCGGGGCAAGATCCAATCCAGACTCCTGGCCACTCAGGGCTACAGTTAGAATCCCCCCTGTTTGCAGAGGAAGGAAGCAGCACGGAGATGGAAAACCCGGCAGGTTCTGGGGAAAGTGGCCGGGGTAGCTGGTGCCCCAGTGAGGTAAGAGGATGCAGTTTTAATCATTTGCATCACCAATGGTACTTTTAAAGCAAAGGTTTTGAATCTGAATTTCTAATTCATTGTGTACATTAATTAATGAACTTGCTGTTCAGCTTCAAAGGATGCCTCTAGACAGGTGACATTTCTGAGTCACTTCTGGGTTCGGCATGATGCATGCATGCACAGTCTTACACATATTAAAAAAGTAACGGACCCCTGACAGTTAAACCCAGTTGCAGATGACTCTGGGGTTAAGGCGCTCATCTTGCTTTACTGGTTGAGGAAGCCGACGTTTGTCCGCAGACAGTTTTTCCAGGTCATGTGGCCAGCATGACTAAGCCACTTCTGGTGAAACCAGAGCAGCGCATGGAAACACCATTTACCTTCCTGCCAGAGCGGTATCTAGTTATCTACTTGCTTTCAAACTGCTAGGTTGGCAGGAGCTAGGACAGAGCAACGGGAGCTCACCCCGTCGTGGGGATTCGAACCACGGACCTTCCGATCGGCAAGCCCTAGGCTCAGGGGTGTCAGATACAGACAATAATACCCTGTTTTCAGATGGGAAAAGAGATCTGCCCTCCACACTAATGGTTACTGTTTTCTTGTAGGAGCTTCCAGAAAAAATCAAACCAGTCATGGTTTGTGACTCAGAAGGGGGTCACAAAAAATACAGGTGTGTGAAATTTCTCTTGGATCTTTTAAGGATTTCTCACGTCAGGGAACAGTTGATACTGTGAATTGAATTTTGGGATTCTGGCCCTTTGGAATCCTCTCCCACTACACATTGGACAGGTGATGTAGCTCTGAAGACCTTCTTCCTCCAAAAAGAGTTTAGATCTTCATCTCAGTCTCCACCTGCATTGGAAGTACTTTCAAATGCTTTTGTATATGAATTTTTAAAATGCTTATATAATTTTTTTAAAAAAAATATGGAACTGTTTTTAAACTGATTTTATACTTCTCCTTACCTCATGGTTCTAAATGTTTTGTTTTCATAATTGTATATTTCATTGTTGTAACCTGCCCTGGGCCCCTGCGGAAAAGAGCAAGTAAGGAAGCTAAAACAAACAAATAAATGCCCCCCTCTGCATTCTATCCTGCTTTTCACCAGCTCTTGACCCATTCAGATAACAAACAGGAGTGCTGACTATGGGGCAAACTAGATCTGATGGTGACTGGTCCACTTTTTAACACCTGAGTCTCTCCCAATTACTTGAAAGAAGTTTTTTTGGGGGGGCTAGGTCCAGATTTTAGAGCAAAAAGGGGTACATGTTGTAGAATATTTGCTGTGAGAATTTTCACTGAAATGCTAACAGACACCAAAACACTGGTGAAAACAAGGTGAGTAGCTACTCACAAGTTTACTTTGCACCCACTTGACCATTTAAAAGTCACCTTTCCTGTATCGGAAGAAAATGTGTTTTATTTATTAGGCCGTCTCTTAGTGAAAGTGTTTCTCTATGGCAAAATGCTTGAATGCAACAGAGCGATGTTTACCCAGGCAATTTCCTTCCCTAAACTTTTCACCTCCTTACTTGGCATATGAAGGGTCTCCTTGAAGAAATATTGATTAGAACAGCAGAAGAAGTTCTCTTCATCCATGTTCAACCCACTTCTTCTTTCATCTTCCCCTTTGTGCCATTCAGAGTGAGCTCCACAAAGGCTGGCTCCTTCTCTTGTTTAGATACGGATCTCATATGTGAGGTGAGAGAAGCTGTGACGCTAACATACTACTTTGATTCGTGGCCTAAGCACCTGGAAGGACAGACCACCGAGGAGTTGCATGTTGCTGGCCCTCTGCTCAACATTCAAGTGGATGTAGTGGAGGCTGTGACAGCCATTCACATCCCTCACTTCCTGTCTCTTTCAGGTAGGGCGGAGGGAAGGAAATCTTCCAAGTGTATAACCGTAAGAGGAGATCCTAAACAGGAATAACTTTCATGGACAGGAGAAGAAAAGAATACTATGGGGTTCCATGGCTCAATAGTACTGGCTTTCCTGTGTCTTGTATCATTTTTGTGTTACAGTGGAACCTTGGTTGTCAAACGCCTCGGAAGTTGATCATTTCGGAAGTGAATGCTTGTTTTCAAACACACCTTGGAAGTCAAACGGCTTCTGAAGTACTTTTCTCCATTTTTTCACATTTCTTCTGACCGGCAATTGCGCCTCGGTTGTCAAACGTTTCAGAAGTTGAACGGTCTTCCGGAACAGATTACATTCGACAACTGAGGTTCCACTATATATTTTAACTGTGCTATTCCCACTGTTTCCCGTGGTTTATCATATTTTGTTTGCAAGCTGCCTTGAGAGGATATTGTTCCATAAAAGGACATAAACAAACTTTAATTGAGAAGAATGATGATGACAACATAAATACTTGCATGAAACAGGCAGGCTGAAGTGATGAGTTTTGTCACTCAGTCCAGCCATGAGGGAGGTGAAGCCATTGCCTCAGGCGTGGCAGGCTTGGGACTCTTCCTCCATGCCGCTACCTACTCTGGCTTCCTCCCCCTGCAGGCCTTCTTTTTGACCTCCTTTTTAAACCCCTTTTCTTGTCTTTTGTCAGGGGGGAGCAGCAGAGGAGGACACGGGAGGAGGCCGTGTTGGCTGGGGGTTGGGGAGGAGGCAGCATGAGGGCGGCACTTTCTGTTTTACCTCAGTGGCACATTGTGCTGGGCCAGCCCTGTTGTCCCCCAGACTCAAGTCCACACTTGTAACACATTTGTCTATGCTTCCTTTTCGCTCCTTTTTAGCTGAAGACCATTCTGGGGTCTACATTGCACATTTTGTCAGAGGGGAGATGAATCTGGAGAAGCCAGACCGAGTGGAGCCTCATCATGTTGTGCTGGAAAACCCCAAGTTCTCTTCCCTTGGAATCGTTTTCAAAAAGATGTTTAAGCAAAAGATCAACACTGTGGCAAGGCTCTATCAGAGACTTCGATTGAAAATGCCAATATTCCACCTATACCTCTTACCCAATGACCCCTCCCTGATAAAGGTAAGCAGGAACCCCCAAGTTTGATTTGCATTCCAGATTGCCTGGATCATACTAATCCTGACACAATAGCAATGCAAAAATCATGCACCATGATGTGCTATTGTTAGTGAACTGCTTTAGTTGGGCTTCAGCTAATTTACCAAACTTGTTGTTTAGTCCTCAGCTTCAGGATCTGTCCTTCCAGTGAGCACTCAGGGCTGATTTCCTTAAGAATGGATAGGTTTGATCTTCTTGCAGTCCATGGGACTCTCAAGAGTCTCCTCCAGCACCGTAATTCAAAAGCATCAATTCTTCAGCGATCAGCTTTCTTTTTGGTCCAGCTCTCACTTATAGCACAAACTTATAGCTGACATGAAAATGCCACCAGAGATGAGATTATCAGCTGTCCTTCACAAGGTTACTTTGCTTCCCAACAACAGTGGTGTTTACTAAAAGTGAACTTTCCAATATTGAAATAAACAATTTTCATTTGTTTGGCAGTCTCCTTGCTAATGGCTAAAGGTCTTGCCTAGAGAACCAGTTAGCAGTTGTTGCCAAATTGTGAAAATGGAATATATTTATGCTACACTGAAGCCAGTGGGGCTTCCCTCAGAGAAAGCACATTTCATGAAGAGCAAATTCCCCTTAGCTCATTTAGCAAAAGACTTGGTACAGTGGTACCTCGGTTTACAAACTTAATCCATTCCGGAAGTCCGTTCTTAAACTGAAACCGTTCTTAAAACAGGACACGCTCCCCCCCCTTTTTTTAGTTATCAATCCTATTATTCAGATTTGTAAGGGACCTTATTTTATTTTATTTTTTACATTTTATTTAACACAATTATTACAAAATATAAGCAAAATATTGTAAATACATACATACATATATATTTCAGATAAGCACACATATATATAAAAAGATCAAAAAAGAAGAAAAGGAACAAAAGAAAAAAGAAAAAGCAAAGATAAGGAGAAAAAGAAGAAAAGTTGGAAGAATTTCCTCCAAATTTATTCTACAAATATCTCAATAATAAAATTTAATTGATTGACTTCCATTGCTTACACTGTACTTCCTATATACATTTTAAGCAAGATTGTACTTGCTATTCCATATTTTTCCCATACAATCTCACACACAATCTTCCACCATTCGGATTCCGTTCATAGACCCAGGTAAAGTTCTCAAACCAGGACACTACTTCCGGTACTGTTCTTAAACCAAGGTACCACTGTACTTATGAGCTCTTTGAGGAAAACATCCCTCCTGGTTTGCAATGTTGGCATGTTGGAGATAAAGCACACTGTTATTTTTCCTTATCAATTTCAGTGCTCCTAGAAATGTTGCCTTATATTTCATGGTAATATTGAAATATAATTCCTTCTGTGGGTTCCTGCATTGTCTCATCAGGAGACTGACCCAGGGTTGCTGGTAGCTCTCTGCTGTGTCACAGTTCAAGGTAGCCAATCCAAGAGCCCCAACTTCAGTTTCTCATGTGGGCAATAAATCTCCTGTCCCCATTATAGTTTCTAGTGCCAAAGCAGTTTAGTCTTCCTTGCCCTGTGGATGGAGAACCTGTGTCCTTTCAGGTGTTGTTAGACTACAACATCCACCATCCTTGCCCCATGCTGGCTGGGGCTGAAGGAAAGCCAACAACACCTGGAAGGCAGCAGATTCCCTATCCCTGCCTTATCTACTGTAACTGTGCCAAGAAAGTTGTGGGGTTTCGAGTAAAAGAGCCGAGCTTCTGCTCCAAATGCCCTTCACCCTATTTGAAAGGGACCCAGTATTGTAGGAGCTTGCTGCCTTCTTTGCATGTCTCAAAAGTGACCTTGTTTGCCCTTCCCAGGCTGTGGATGAGCATGAAGCAAATTGCCATTCACGGAGAATAGAGAAACCCCCTGGGACCCTGAAAAGTCTGAAGATTGGCACTCCCATCTTTGTGCAGACCTTAGACGACGTCACAATCTGGCCTGAGGTGAGACAAAAGATGATGAAAAATTCTGTCAATGCAGAGCTAAGCTGTGACGCATGAGAATGGGAAGGAACCAGGACCCCTGCTCGCCCTTTAATTGGACTCTCTTGGAATCATGGGCGGGGCTAAGCCACATTCACAACTACAGAGGTTTCCCGCTCTCCCGCAGGAAGTGAAGTTTCAATACCTGGATGCTGAGAAGCTGCAGCAGTACGTGGAGCTGTCTGCTGAGCAAATGCAAGAGAAGTTCAGCTTCACGCTGGTGGAGAAGCGCACAAATAAGCTCATCTGGAAGGCCCATGTGAATCGAGGTGTGTTTTGACCGAGGGAAGATCACAAGGTTGGACTGTAGGTTGGGAGGCAGGACGGCAAAGAGCATCCCAGTCACAGTCCCTCTTTGACTGCCTCTTTCCTGTTCTCTTGCAGAAGAGTTAGATCCAGGTCAGATGAATTCCTCTATTCTACGCCCAGTACAAGGTAAGCAAGTTTTATTTCCCTGTAGTTATATCCCGCCTCCCTCCCAAGGTGGCACAGAGCAACTGGTGATACAGCACTACACACATGGCAGAATAATAATAAAAAGTAACATTTGTAATGTCATGGAAGAGCCTTCCTAGACATGCTGACCTGGCTTCATCATGTTCTTTGGTGCCAGATCAAGATCTTTAAAAACACCTAGGTTTTTAAAATTTGGCTGAACTCAGCTATCTAGACATGCCAGAGGAATCCAGTGCATGGGCTCCCAATAACTCAACTCCCATCGCCATCAATTTCTTATAGTTCCTGCTTGCTTCATTCATATCCTCTCTCTCTCCTTTCCAGGTGATTGTGGCTACTCACTGCCCCATACACCATCCCAGAGAACTGACTCAGGCCGTAATGCAGAAGGCAGGTAGGGATTAACCCTTTCTCTTGAAGGAGATGGGAAAATATATTAATTCCTGTGACCTGTGTGAGTGTGTGTGTGTGTGTGTGTGAATTAACAAGAGGGAAATTGCTGGGTACCTAGATTAAAAAGCTGGGGCTGAACACACACTCCACTAGGAGAGAGCCCCAGTTGCAAAGTAAAGACCAATAATAATAATATACAGTGGTACCTCGGGTTACAGACGCTTCAGGTTACAGACGCTTCAGGTTACAGACTCCGCTAACCCAGAAATAGTACCTCGGGTTAAGAACTTTGCTTCAGGATGAGAACAGATATCGTGTGGTGGCGGTGCGGCGGCAGCAGGAGGCCCCTTTAGCTAAAATGGTACCTCAGGTTAAGAACAGTTTCAGGTTAAGAATGGACCTCCAGAACGAATTCAGTTCTTAATGCAAGGTACCACTGTATTACTTTTACCCCACCCATCTGGCCAGGTTGCCCCAGCCACTCTGGGCGGCTTCCAGCAAAACATAACAGGCATGATGGAGCCGGCCTTTCATAGCAGAGCTGATGAAGGGAATTCTGCTTCTCAGCTCTCCCAGTGCTAGAATGGTCAGGCAGCAGTATAACGTTGAAATACAGGTCATTTGACCTCCTTTATCCCATTTTGGCTCCATGTAGCAGCCAACCTCTTCCCCTCAGTGTCATTCCTAGTTGTGGAAGTTGGCAGTACCTTCTAATGATCTGCCTCATTCCCAGGTCCATTTGCTGAGCTTCTCTTGTTTTGTGCCTGCTTTTCCTTGCTGCTGGGGGTGACATTGCAGGGCAATGGAGAAGACCATCGCAGACTGCCTGATGTCCACGCTGGAGAACTTGTGGGAGGATGAACTCAAGAGATTCAAGCTCAAGCTCAACGAGTTCCCCCTCAGGGAGGGCTATGACAACATCCCCCTAGGGACACTGGAGAAGGCAGATGCGGTGGACTTAAGCCACCACCTTCTGAGTTTCTACCTGGAAGATTATGCTGTGCAGGTGACGGCCGAGGTCCTCAGAGCCATCAACTGCAGAAACGAGGCACAGAGGCTCCTTGTCCTCACCGGAAAGGAGTAAGGAAAAAGGAATGCCGTCTCATGGAACTCACCATGAGTTAAGGGGAAAGGACTGTCATTTTCCTCAGCCCTCTGCAAATGGAGGGAGATTGATTCTGATCCTCTTTTCATGGGAGTCATGAGGGTGGAAGTAGTTTAAAAAGCATGCAGAATCTTGTTCAGTTATGTATCTGCGTTTTCAAAGCACAGGAAATTTAGGTTGCTAAACCTCTTAAATATCCCAGTATTAGGCACTGACAATGTGCTCACCGATCTCTACCCCTCTGGCAATCAATTGGACCACATGTTAAATGGGTCTTAAAAGTTTTACTACTACCATAATACAAGGTCTTAGTCATAGATCTGAGCACCACAGCAAAAGCAATGCAGGTAGACAAATTAACTGAGTACAAAATTACAAAGTCAGTTCCAAAATGGATTCTGGGTTCAGGGAGGAGCTCAGACACGTGTTCTCTGATCTATGTTCCGCAAAGGAGAGAGAGAGAGAGGAATAGGAAGAAAGTGTTTGTTACGGAAAAATCTAGGTGCAAGGCTGCTCAGTCACCCAGCTCGTCTCTCAGGAGGAGCGGGGGAGTGACCTCACAGAGCCTTCTCTAGCAATTAAGAAACTGTGAGGTTTTTAAGCCTTCCATTCGAAATGCTGGGCTGCAAAAATCTTCCACAATGCCTCCATCGTTGTCTCCATTTTTTTGTCCCTGCAGCCGGAAACCCTTTCTATACCAACATGTCTAAATACAACTATTGTAACTTTGGGGGGTTCAGTCTGCATGATGCTCGAGCCCCATGTAATTCCTGGGGTCCTGGATCCAGCAAGGATTAAAATGTAATGGAGGATTCGATTCCATTGCTGAACTAGTCAGGCATGTGATAGAACTGGCCATGGCTCCCACCTAGGAACCATCATTCTTAGTATAACAAAAGAAGTGATGGCGCCTTCTGGCAAATGGATTGGGGTGGCATGCAGCAACAACATTTTTGATGATGTCACACATACAGATTAATACATATTTTTAACTGCCGCTATATCTGAATTGTCTCTGTTATACCTAACTGTGATTCAATGTATTCCTGTTGTGTTTTATGATTTTCCTGATACTGTGAGCCGGAACTGGTCTGTGACTGTAATAATAAAATTCATTCATTCACCTTCTGACCCCCTCTATCTGCCTCCTCCGATGTCAGCATCGCCCTAGAGCCAGTGTACCAACTGGACTCATGCACCTCAACCCCGACTGGGCTAGGCGAGCTGGGTAGCACCGCCAGAGACCTCCTTTGTTCACAGGAACAGGTCACAGTGCTGTGGACTCAGAGCTGAGAGCACCGGATTCTGTCTCAATAATACAGTCGTTGCGCAGCAGAGTTTTGCAGAGTCTTGCAGAGTATAAACCACTCGGAGAGCAGCTCTGTAGAATATCTTCCTCTTATTCTATAACTACAACTATGATACAAAACTATATACAGAGCTGAATATTCTAAGCATAAATCAATGCTACACTGAGAGTCTGCAGCTGCTCTTAGCAGCAATCTTATCTCTAGGATCTCTAACACTCTCACTCTCTCCCATACACTGACTGACTGACTCTCTCTCACACACACAGATATGTTGCTGGGCAGAATAAGTAGATAGGCAGGACACGCCTCCTTCTCTCTGGAGAGTCAGCAGAGACCATCAGGAGATGATCAGGAGATTCTTGGGTATGGGAGGGGTGAAATCTCCTCATCCTCCCCCATTTCATCCGACCATTTCAAGAATCTTTAACATAACTGCAATTTACACACACACTCCAAAAGTTGTTCTCTGCTTACAACCTTGGTTAACATATTTGCAGGTATCTCTTTTCCCGGCATATAACACACTGTGACAATACAAATGAATAGGCAGCTTCTAGAAAAATCTTCACACACATTTCTTCCTTTCAGATACAAATTGACATTTCTAATTAGGCAGATTTGAACAAACCATTTTCAGAACTCAAATACACGCTTTCCTTCAAATATCAAGTAAGGAAATAAATAAAGCGTTTTGTGCTACTACTCTCAGCACACTTCATGCTAGGTTTGAAAACCCCACCAGAGTTGCTCGTGACCGCAGTCTTTGCAAACTCTTCAGAAAACCTTTTCGGTGGTACACCCTTGGTTGTTCTCTCGGATCTGCGCAGAACTCTCTGATCCTCTTGTTTTGGTGCTTCCTCCTCTTTGGGAGAATGGGGAGCTAAAGTATATGAAGCTGCTAAGTCTGAGCCAGCGTCAGACTCACCTGAGGCTTTTGGGCTCTGATAATCTGTGCCATCATCTGGAACTACATTGGCATCAGGATTATCACCACCACCAACACTTACCTCCCTCTTAACTTTCTTTGCCCCTTTTGCACCATCATCACAAATGGGATGGCACTGAAAAACGCCAACTCTGTCCCATTGTGGATTGTCATCAATACTCCTGGTCAGCCTTATGGTTTTCGTGTCTGTGATCAGAACACGATAAGACCCTTTCTCATATCCTAGGAAAATACCATGTTCTCCACGCTTGCTCAGTTTGTCACCTTGCGAGGTGTGCACCCAAACCTCCGAACCAAAAATTTTAAAATGCTTTACACATGGCTTTCTTCCGTGAAGCATCTCATATGGGGTGCAATTTATACTAGACTGGTACCTCCTGTTATACACGTGACAGAAAAACAAAAGAGCTTCAGCCCAATAGGGATTGGGCAACCCCGAATCATGTAACAGTGTTCTGATTCCTTGCTGCAGGGTCTGGTTTACTCTCTCACATAAACCATTCTGCCAGGGTGATCTGGGCGTGGCGGTCCTATGCTCAATGCCCTGTTCAGAAAGAAAACTCTCAAACTCTTCTGAACAAAATAGGAGTATAGCATCTAGATCAAGGGAAGCATCAATAGGAGTATAGCATCTAGATCAAGGGAAGTAATAGTGCCACTGTATTCTGCTCTGGTCAGACCACACCTGGAGTACTGTGTCCAGTTCTGGGCACCACAATTCAAGAAGGACACTGACAAACTGGAACGTGTCCAGAGGAGGGCAACCAAAATGGTCAAAGGCCTGGAAACGATGCCTTATGAGGAACGGCTAAGGGAGCTGGGCATGTTTAGCCTGGAGAAGAGGAGGTTAAGGGGTGATATGATAGCCATGTTCAAATATATAAAAGGATGTCACATAGAGGAGGGAGAAAGGTTGTTTTCTGCTGCTCCAGAGAAGCGGACACGGAGCAATGGATCCAAACTACAAGAAAGAAGATTCCACCTAAACATTAGGAAGAACTTCCTGACAGTAAGAGCTGTTCGACAGTGGAATTTGCTGCCAAGGAGTGTGGTGGAGTCTCCTACTTTGGAGGTCTTTAAGCAGAGGCTTGACAACCATATGTCAGGAGTGCTCTGAGGGTGTTTCCTGCTTGGCAGGGGGTTGGGCTCGATGGCCCTTGTGGTCTCTTCCAACTCTATGATTCTATGAAAACTCTCCACCCGTCTGTGAAAAGAAAACGTACATTCTCATTATGTACATTTCTGAGCCATTTACAAAACTGGCGAAACTTGGTAAAGGCTTCAGACTTTTTCTGCAGCATATAGATCCAAACATATTTTGAATAGGAGTCTATCAGAACCATGAAAAACCTTGAATTGCCTCTAGAGAGCGCTAGAGGCCCCACTAAATCTGCATGAATGACCTCATATGGTTTCTTGGCCTCTCTCCCAGACTCTGTACCTTTGGGAGCTTGCCTTGCCTTACTCTTAGCACAAGAAACACATTTCATGTGGTAGGGACATTCTTTCAACTTCATACCCTGAACCATATCAGGCATTTTTGCCACAGCCTGGAAATTCAAATGACCATAAACGCGATGGTAATAATGAATACATTGGTCATGCAACTTCTCATTCTTATCCACAGATAAATTGCAACACTCTTTCTCAGTTGCTTCTGCAGTGCCTGTACCTGAAACAAAAGGCAATTGGTACAATCCATTTACACATTTTGCATACAAAATGAGCTTGCCATCTCTAAGAATTTCACAGCGAGATTTAGCAAACACCACCTTAAACCCTTGACGATCAAGCTGGGAAACACTCAACAAATTGTCCTGAATATCAGGTGCATACAGGACATTCTTAATAGTTGCATTCAGGCTCTTTAAGAACACAGTTCCCTGAGCCACACTCGTGAGAACTGTCCCATCTGCTTGATGAATTTCTTTCTCTTGCTTCTCAAGCTGAACAAAGAGATTCTTATCTTTGGCCACGTGGTTTGAACAGCCAGAGTCGACCACGAAGAAACTCCGCCCACGTTGACTGGAACAGCGAGAGATCAAGGCCTTTGAAGTAGCAGGTGCTTGGGGATTTCTTCCTCCTCCCCCTCTGCCTCTGAAGTTTCCCTTCTTCTTTGAAGACTTCTTACACTGGAAACTCAAATGGCCTTGTGCTCCACACGAAAAGCACCGCTTCAATTTCAAAGCTTTAACAGCAGCAGTTTCACTTTCACTTTCCCCTGCTGAAGACTCAGGCACATTTTCAAGCACATTTTTAACAGCACAGTCCCGGCTTTCTTTAACAGCCTGTCTGCGATCCCACTCATTCAGAAGCACGCTAGACACATAATCTTCTGTTAGCCGGTCAGAAGGCATCGTGGAAATCTGGGCAGCCACTCCATCATAAGACTCATCTAGGCTATTGATCATCAGCATTGCAAACACAGCCTCTGAAATAGCCAGGTCTCGCTGAACAAGGTCCTGTCTGAGACGCTTTAATTGAGACAGATGGCTAGGCAAATCACCACCTTTCTCCAACTGCAGCCTGCACAGCTTCTTAAAGAAAATCACACTGGAACCAGCATTCTGCCTCAGACGCATATCTCTCAACTTATGCCAAACAGCTTGTGCAGTCTCTTGACCCTCTAAGTTCACCAGCAAGTGGTCTGAAACACTCAAAACAATTGTCCCTCGGGCTTTCATATCTGCAGCATGCCATTCAGGCCAATCATCTGCATCCTCATCGGGAGGGTCATCTTCTATCGTGTGAAATAGCTTTTCCCTCTGTAAAAGCGCTTTCATCTTTACTTGCCAAACTGCATAGGTTTCAGGCGTGAGGAGAGGAAAGGACAGAGCCATCTGGCCAGAATGTGCACAGGCCATGTCTGCTATTACTTAGAGCAAGACACTTCCCTCGTGCAACACAGATAAAGCCTTGACTCCCCTCAGCCACTCTCTCTCCCACTCAGAGCGCAATTAACAGGCAAACAGGGATGCTATCTTCTTCCTTTGGCAGTCAGCAACATACCTCCATAAATCAAGCAGCAGCAACAGCAACAGCAACAGCGGCAACTTGAACACTCTGCTCCAAAACAGCTCTGCTTCTGGGCACCGCAAATCAGTCCAGCATGCAGCGTCCGTTCCACCGTCCGGCAATCAGCAACAGAAACCTCTGGCGACTGAGACGACTGGGACGCCTGGTCAGACGACTGGAACAATGACTGGGCCCATAACCGATGTCAGCATCGCCCTAGAGCCAGTGTACCAACTGGACTCATGCACCTCAACCCCGACTGGGCTAGGCGAGCTGGGTAGCACCGCCAGAGACCTCCTTTGTTCACAGGAACAGGTCACAGTGCTGTGGACTCACAGCTCAGAGCTGAGAGCACCGGATTCTGTCTCAATAATACAGTCGTTGCGCAGCAGAGTTTTGCAGAGTCTTGCAGAGTATAAACCACTCGGAGAGCAGCTCTGTAGAATATCTTCCTTTTATTCTATAACTACAACTATGATACAAAACTATATAGAGCTGAATATTCTAAGCATAAATCAATGCTACACTGAGAGTCTGCAGCTGCTCTTAGCAGCAATCTTATCTCTAGGATCTCTAACACTCTCACTCTCTCCGATACACTGACTGACTGACTCTCTCTCACACACACAGATATGTTGCTGGGCAGAATAAGTAGATAGGCAGGACACGCCTCCTTCTCTCTGGAGAGTCAGCAGAGACCATCAGGAGATGATCAGGAGATTCTTGGGTATGGGAGGGGTGAAATCTCATCCTCAAGAGGTCCGGAGAGTGGCAAAACGAGAATGCTCTCCTCTGGAAGTTCACCTGGAGCCTTCATAATACACCTTTAGGTGCCAAGCAGAAACGTTCCTTTTTAACCAGACCTTTGGTTGATTTTGATGCACGTAGAGACCTATAAGCTTGAAATGTGGGGTTTTTTGGGTGGGGTCGTTATTGGGTTGTTGTTTTTATATTTTGTGGTTTTATTTTTATTTTTAAAAACAAGCAGAGCTTGAATCATAGGTGTCAACTTTCAGATTTGAAAATAAGGGATCAGCAGCCTCGAAAATAAGGGATCAGCAGCCTCATCTGTCCCGGGGACAGTCTATGGGATATCTAACAATCCAGGATAGCAGTGGGAAACTGCGCTGGAATAAGGGAATTTCCCGCAAAAAGGGAGAAGGTTGACAGCTATGGCTTGAATCTTGGCAAGACTGAGGTACTGTGAACGAATAGCTCCTGCGCCTGAAATATTCGCCTGCTGCCTACCCTGGATGGGGTTGCGCTCCTGCTGAAGGAGCAGGTTCACAGTTTGGAGGTGCTTCTCCATCCAGCTCTGTCACTGGAGGCTCAGGTAGCCTCAGTGGCTGGAAATGCCTTTTACCAACTGTGGCTGGTTCAACAGCTAAAGCCGTTTCTGGACTGGAGAAACCTTGCCACAGAAGTTCATGCATTGATTACAGTGGTACCTCTGGATACGTACTTCATTCGTTCCGGAGGTCCATTCTTAACCTGAAGCACCACTTTAGCTAATGGGGACTCCCGCTGCCACCGTGCCCCCGCCGCACCGCCACCACACAATTTCTGTTCTCATCCTGAAGCAAAGTTCTTAACCTGAAGCACTATTTCTGGGTTAGCGGAGTCTGTAACCTGAAGCGTATTTAACCGAGGTACCACTGTACTTCAAGACTGGGTTGCAGCAATGCACTCTACAGTATGTGGGGTGCCCCTCACTCTTTGTACGGAGGCTGCAGTTAGTGCAGGATGCTGCCACATGATTGCTGACGGGAGTGAGGACTTGTCAGCATATACTAAGTGAGCCTGGATAGTTCAATTGGTAAAGAGCATGGTGCCGATAATGCCAAGGTTGCAGGTTTGATCCCTGTGTGGGACAGCTGCATATTCCTAAGTTGCAGGGCGTTCAACTAGATCAGGAGTGCCCAAACTTTTTACAAAGAGGGCCAGATTTGATGAAGTGAACATGCGTGAGGGCCGACCAAAGTTGTTGAGGATTTGACCCCCCCCCAATAAATAAACTGCCAAAGGGGCCGGACTAGGTGATGATCCTCAAGGTCCCTTCCAACTCTACAATTCTATGATACGCAGCTCACACTAAAACAAAATGGACCTAGAGAGCAGAGAGAGAAATGGCACCACAAAAAATGTCACAGTCAGGCAAGAATTAATTGTATATTTGATACACTTCCCTTATTGGATTTTCCCTGATTTGGGAAAATCAGAATTTACCGTGGAAAAAAACTGTTGGACAAGTAAGACCTCAAGTGGACAACACCCAAAGAACTTAAGACACATCCAGCTTCAAATACACATTAAATGCCCTTGTGATTAAACCCAGAGTCTGCAAGGGGATAGTTATCTACATCTGGATGACATCTGCCTGCATTTTGAAGATCTCTAAACCTTTTGCATTTTTGTCCATTTAAGATTATGAACTCTCCCATCTGTATTGCAGTTCTGTAGCAGTGAAGATAAATGGCCTTAACTGGGAGACTTGGAAGGATTTAGAGTGGTGCATCCGTAGATAAACTGACCTGAATTTCTCCACACCACCCAACCAATCACTCTGAAAAGGACTTGTGCGTTTCCCTGAAAACAGTCTGTTCTACCAGAGGGAAGCTGAAGACTAATGGATTTTTTAAAGCGGTAGAACTCTTTAAAAATATGTTTATTAATATTGTTTTCATTGCAAGACAGTGCATTACAGAATACATTGCATTCATGTAGACAAGTACATGAAATTGGACCCAATATACCTTCAGACATTCATTTTCCTGTCATTTTTATAAATGTCATCGCAAAAATGAAGTGAAAAACAGCATCGGTAGAATCTACCATTCCTAAAGGCTAAAGCTTACTAAAGAAATTCTTCACGACAAAAGTTTTCTTCCAAACATGAGAGTAGATAGGGAATTAAAATTATCATGATAACTAAGAGAGTAATAATAATAAACAGGAAGGGAAGCAAGGTTACCATCTGTAGAACCCCCACTATGAGCAAGCCTGAGTTGGGGGTGAGCTGTACTGCTGCCATCACCTGGTGAATTTCAAATTCCAAGTTAGCAGCATTATTTTAATACAATGGAGGGGAAGAGAGAAGATTGCTGCTCAGGGTAAATAATATGCTCTGGATTAAGGGCATGGGGAAAGAGAAGAAAACTGATATTGGGATAAACGTGCATCTGAACAGGGAAGATGAACACAGTGATACAGGTATACACAACTGGCTGAAAACATTCCACTATATGTGATACAAAACTTAAGGCACAGTGAAATAAATAGAAATCCAGCCAGGGACTTAGGGATGCAGAACCCTATTTGCCCTATCTATCAGTGTCAGGGGTCCTTCAAAGAGATCCATTTTAATTTTCAAGGGGTCTTTTCTATGTTATTAAGATTGGCATACTTTGTGGAATGCTTTTATAGGAAGAAGATCCAGGTTTCTCTTCTGCTAAGATAAGAATGCTCACTTCATATTATAAATGTCCTTTAAGGCCTTCAGTGCTTGTTCTTCAGTAATGTTTTTCCAGTCCTCTGGCAGATCAGCTGGTTTAGCTTTATATATTCTTGCAAAATCATGGTTATATTTGTTCAAAACAAACTTCCAGTAATCTGAAGCATTGATACTGGGATCTGGTTGGATGCACCAGTCTGGATAATATGCACGATAATCTTTGTATGGATAGAATTCCCCATTTGTGTCCTGATTTTCGAACTCAGTGTTGGAAGCCACAGCAGTTGAACAGATATCATAAACAAGCTTTTCTGACTCTTCTTCTCTGTACTTTCCCAGTCCTTGAGGCCGATGGACAGTTGCAAAATGCTCTTGATGAGCACTCCCTCCAGCTTCACAGGGGACTTTGCAGAAAGGACACTGCTTCCCACAGCCAAACACCCGCTTGAAGATCTCATCCTGGGGGCTCACAGGCAATTTGGAGAGTTTAGACTGGATATCCAGGATATCATATTCAGCTATTATTTGCTGCTGCAAATCAGCAAGGAAGTTTTCAACACAAGAAGAAAACTGTGCAGGAACAGTTGCATTCTTAAACTGTACCCCTAACAGACTGTCCTTAGAAATGACTAACTCCTTCTGCATTTCTCTGCAAAAACTGTCCAAAAATTCTGAGACTGTCTCAATATCTTGATGCTTTAATTTTTCCAGTGTTTCTATAATTTTCTTTACAATCGCAGAGAGAATCTCTTCCTCCAGTTTCTTCAGACACTCATTCTTTGCATAGTAATCCAAAATATGTTTCTGGATCCAGTTTTTGACAAACTTTTCATAAGCCCTAATGTATTTTACGTAACTGTCGACATTACCCTCTTCCAACAGTTCCTTCAGGACAGTGAACTGGAAGAAGCTCCGACTGGCATACCCAATGGACTGTGCACTGTTGAGAATATCATCTACTATTTCTATCCCAAGTCTTTTGTTGATATAACTCACAAGGGCAGGATGGAGACACTGGTCACAGAAATCCTTGGCTCTGATTTGCTGGGCATCTTTTTCCAGATAAAGATCTCTGAAAATTGAGAAATAATGAGGCTTCAGTTTCTCTAAGCGTATATAGGGATCATTTTCCTTAATAAACTCGTCATGCATCTTTTGAAATTCATGAGCTGCTTCCCCCAAAATGTGAAGCTTTAGATCCACTTCAAACCATGTTGTTATATGAAGTTTCTGAGCATCAGGCTGCTGTAGCTTTTCATTGATAAACTGTAAAAGTTCACCACAATATGTATCATCATAGTCTCCTTTGGAATCAGCCTTCTTACAAATGTAGGAACTGCATTTAGCCATCAAGGAGTTAGCAAGTTCTTCTATCTCATGCAAACCGTCATTTTTAACAATCAAGTGTTTCACACGGCGCCACCATGTTGAATCCATATATTCAGATTTCATTTGAAAAGTATTCATTCTGTAGCTTAACAAAGATTTTGCTCCCTGTAATTTTACATTGACTGGACATCCTCGATGTGCCAATTCCCTTCTCAAATATAAGTCAACCTTTTCATATATTTGTCGTTTCTCTAAGGGAACAGGTGATATTTCTGACAATGTTTCCATCCACATTCTTTCAAACTCTTTTTCCAGTTCTTGATCTTCTATCCTATCTTCATTTTCCCGGCATTTTTTAAGTAGCCCATCAACCTTTCCTTCAATTATTTTCAAGTATTCAGTCTGTAGAGAGTGAATCTTGTGAAGCCCTTTTTGAATGCGAACAACTTCCTGACATTTGTTGTAAGAATAACTTTCAAGTTCCTGCTTGAGGCTGTGAGCATTGCGGACAAAATCTTCTCTGTACCTTTCTACCAAATGCAGATTTGCTGCTCTGCTTTCAAAGTATTGCTTCAAATTCTCCAAAATCTGCTGTTCTCCAGCCAACAGCTTCTGATAAAGCTCATTTTGCAAACTGCGTATATCAAATTCATCAGGAGAAACATTCTGTATTGACGTTTCCTGTTCAGACACCCAGAGGTGCATCTCTCTGCGAAAATGCCAGTCCCATTCACAATATTTCATGGAGAGCTGGTTATAAGCTTCCGCTATGAGGCTGTTTCGGAAGCTGAAGATGAAGTTCTCATGTTTCACAGCATTCCACAGACTCTTCACCCATTCAATAAACTGAGGGATGTCCTTGGGGGGTGTTTTACATGAGCGGTTCTTTATGAATTCAAATATGTACTTCTTTAATTCAAGGACTTTTTCACTGTATCCCATGTTAATGGGGGCCATGGGTGGGACTCCATGCCAAAGACCTGGGATGTACCAATTATGCATTTCTGGGTCGTAGTCCATGATGTCTGAAAACTTGATATCCCTATTGTGTTTTTCCATTTTTGCTGCAGCCTGGGTCATTTCATTCAGCTGTTCCAAAAAATGCTTCCTGTCCCTCATGTTTTGGTCATGTGCAGAAACGTCACTGACGTTCTGATGAACAAACTGGCAGTTGGGTTTTTGCCCAATCCTCTCCATCCTGAGAAAGGCATGGGTCACAATTTGCAGGATGTCCTTCATTTCGGTGGCATTCTCCATGGCCATGTTGACAATGGTGATGTCGCTCAGCCCAATCACTAGAGTGGCTAATTCGTTGTCATGCTGATAGCTGTCTTCCAGTTTGGCTAGTTCAGGGGCTTTCAAGCCCTCTGTGTCTATCACCAGGATGAAGTCACAGCCAAGATCCTGAACCAAATTCTCTGAGACGTTAAGAAGCGTCATGAAGGCACCTCGTGTGCACCGCCCACTGCTGACAGCAAACTGCAGGCCAAACATGGTGTTCAGAAGGGTCGATTTCCCAGTGCTCTGCACCCCCAGAACAGTTATCACCATCATCTTGGATTGTCCCCTAAGTTTGTTATTGAGTTTATTCAGAACGTCAGTTATCCACTGCAGGGGGATATTGGATGCATCACCATCAATGAGCTCCAGGGGAAACCCTTCCAGCAGTAGTTCAGCTGCAATGCTTGGGAAATGGGCAAACTGTCTATTGTTTTTAGCTATTTTGCCCTCATTAACCATTGAGCATTCTGCCTCATAGAACTGCCCCAGCTCACGCATGAAATGCTCAACTCCCAAGCAAGAGGATGATATCAACTGGTCTACCTCTGCAATCTTCCGCCCATCATCTCCTAACTTCTTGCATTTCTCTTTATAGTCAGCACGTAACTTGGAAAGATTTCCCCTAGCAATATGGTCCAGGTTGAACTTCATCCATTTCAAGAAATAATTCCTCTCTGCATCCTTCAAATGCTTTATGCCATGGATGAAATTAATCAAACCAATGGTGAGATCACATTGACTCTGCTGCCTACGCAGTTCCAACAATCTGCCTCTCAATTCTGATCTGTATTTTTCCGAAGGCATGTCCCCTTGTCTTTCCATTCTGCATAGTTCTTTCTCCACTTTGGCCAGATTTTTCCAGAGATCACCTTGGAGTATCAGTGTTTCTTTCTTGTAAACTGCTACATCTTTTATCTCTCCTGAAATTTCTGTGGCACATCTGAGGGCATCCTGACATTCTTTGTGGTCTTCATCCACCTGGATTGTAAGTTCATGGGCTGTTGTACACATCTTATCAATACTTATACACTTAGGATTTGAGGCTATTATTTTTCCAACTGCAGCTCGAAGGAGTTCTACAAATACTGCTTTATTCATTGTGGCATTCTTTACCAATATATGTGAATTGTCAAGTTTAATCACTGGTGCCAGTTTATTTAAGAACTCCAAGGTAGAATCAGATTTTCTACTGCGACCTTCCAAGATAAAGTAGAACTGAGTTGACAAGTCCTTCAGTGATGACAAGAGAGTATATTCTCTCTTGCCAATGCATTCAGCAAATATGAACACAGCTGAGGAGACCTGCGTTAAAAAGCTGAACTGCACCCAGTGAGACTCAACATCTCCACGGAGATTTGCAACAGCAACTGGCTCTGGGAAGAGATCTGTGTTTGTCCGTCCTCCTGGGAAATACCAGGCAATCTCTACAAGCCCATCAGCAATTTCCCGAGGGATGTTCCCACATTCCATATCTCGGTGTAGAAAGAAATTATTATGCTGCTGAGAAGGGCTGAGGAACTCGTTGAGGACTTTGGACTTGGATATGTTACAGTTTCCCATCCGTACGAAGGAAACAGTCGGCATGGATGTCAGTACCAGGCTGTCTTCCTTAAAGCCTCTGCTTTCAGCCAAGGAATGGGGCCTCCATTTTTTCACAATGTCCCTCATGGCCCAGAGCATCAGGGTGCACTTGGAGGTCATGAGGGGAGGCAGAATCAAAGGCAGGGCAAACTGGCACATGGACATTTTGAGAAGGATCTCCTGTTGGAGAAAACTGTCAGAACAAAGCAGAACAGTACAAAGGACATCAAGGGGGTTCACAGAATCTATCTCATCTGTTTTGGTATCAAAGAAGATTCTCTCATCAATCCTTTTTTCCTTCTCCTTTAACGGCATTCCTTTATTGTCCAGTGTTTCATGTTGAAGGCTTGTGCTCCTGGCTGTCACATTCAAAGCCAAGACCTTCTTCAGAAAATGCCAAGGCAAGTCTCCCAATGTACACGGACTGCAGTCTTTTAGATTTCCAGAACTGATTTCCAGAATTTCTTTCAGGGCGAGTTTCTTGCTTGAATACTTCCGAAACTTCAACTTAGCAATGATGTTCTTAAGCGCTTTTCTTCCTTCTACAGAACCATTAGGAAATAAGTATTATTCTTTTTGCACCCATGTGTATCCAAGATTACTGTTTCAGTGCCAAATTTTCTAATGTGTGTTTAACAATGCAATTGCATGACTCTCTTTTTTTAAAAAAAGATCAATGCAAGTGCAAGCGATGTGCGTAATGTCACATGGCCTCTGCATCTTTTTCTTCCCTACCACACTTGCCCACACCCTGGTACATTTCACTTTTGCATACAAGGGCAGTGGCAGCAACTGAGAGAAGTCAGCTTTTGCCTCCCAAGGCAAAACAGAAAATGCTACCTGCTACAGCACACATGCTGCCTAAGGCACCACCCGCCGGTGGGCTGGCCCTGAGAGATGAAAACACATGGGAATGATCATATTCCTGACATGGTAAATAAACCATTTCAAACAATAAAGCTAGTCATCTGATAATGAAACTGAGTTTACCCTAACCCAGAAATTTTCATTCAAGAAGTAACTTCAACTTCCCTTAAGGGCAACGTATTAGCCAAAGCTGCATTAACTGAGTGGCAGGATTTCCAGATTCTGCAACCAGAAAAATGAAATTCTGCAATCATCATAAAATGGGTAACCTAGATTAATATGTTTCTCTGAACAAATGAAACAAGACTAAAGGCAATGGACTGTGAACACCTGATATAACTGGGGAATGCCTGGATAAGATGCAATCTGGAAACATGGCTCCACCCTCCACTGTAGGGAGGATACAAAATTAAGATGCAAAAGACAAAAATGCCTTTGCTAGTATGTTTCTTTTTTTGCTCTGCTTCTGACTCAAGCTCATCTTCTTTCTCTTGTCCTGCAGGGACTAGAAACACACACAAACCTTTAACCATGTAATGTTATACCATAGTTTACTTAAAAGAGTTGATTTTAAGCTATGGTTTAATGCCCATGGGCATATTATTCCTCCCTGTTCTTTTCCCCCTTCTCCCAGAGCCCACCGCAGAAACAAATGAGTTTGGCTTGTTATAGCAGCATGCAAACTTGGCTCGAGTGGTAAGTCAGGAATAAGCCATGGATTCCCGGATTATTGCTTGGTGTTTGTTGGGAGCAAACAAATCATAAGCTGGATATGAACGACACAAGCCCAACTGTGTCTTACCTCTGCTGCACCGGGGGGGGTATACTATTGTGTGTGTTAATCCATAGTTTAAAAGAGCTATGATTTAATGTTGTGTTAAAATGCAGTCATAGCCCATGTTCATGTCACAGGGAAGCCATAGTTAAAATAAATTATGGCTTATTGTGAACCTGCTGAAATAATGGGTGCTTTGTGTGGGATGTAACATGACAAAAGCAGTCAAGTACAACATTTCCTGTTCGCCCAGAGTAGACACACAGGGGAATGTTGCTGAGAACTTCCTGTCACACCTCTTCTGGACCATCCTCCCCCTGAGTGTGACCAGGTAGGTGGACGTGACCCTGGGAGACCCCATGAAAGGGCTGGTCACGCAGCCATCTTTCCCTTTTTTTCCTCTTGATGCTCTTCCTCATGTACTATCTCGATGCTCTTTTGCTGTGCTGGCTCTCAGCCAGCAGCACATGGGCTCATCCCTCACAAGAGGATGAACCCACACTTTCCTCTGTAACTACAAGCTAAACCCTGCCTTCAGGATCACACTGTGGACTGAATGTGAGTAAGCCTTATCATTATTTTTAAAGAAGACTGTTGTGTCATTGTTGTTTTTAAGAGGGAACAAAAGGGGATTTACCAGGAAGAAATCAAATCTGGATTGCTTAACTAAAGTGCTTCTCATGGATCCAATCAACTAGCTTCCTACTATGTATATGGGAATGTGCTCTGCTACAAGTCTGGATGGGAAAAGAGATTTGAAAGTCACACCCACACCATACATTTAAGGCCTATCTATACTGCTTTAGCAGCCATGGCTTCCCCCAGAGAACCCTGGGATTTGTATTTTACCCCCTCCCATCACCCTTAATAAATGACAGTTCCCAGGGTACTTTGTGGGGGGGAGCCATATACTTTAAATGAATGGTCTGGAGGCGGTTATCCAAACTTCATCAGAGGTAGGAGGAATCTTCCTCCCTTCAGCAGAGCCCAGGCTGCCCCATCCTGCCTGGCTTGCTTATGGAAAGGCTAAGCAGGAAAGAAGAATTAGACCAGGGGGTCAGCAGGACCTATTTTGAAGAAACCAGTAATAACCAAATGTTCCCTCCCCCCAACCCTGATCACGAAAGGAGATACCTTTGGGAACTGCTTCTTCTGTCTCTCCCAATACTCCTGGGCTTTCAGTTTTCTCCTCTGGAGGCAAACGCTCTAGGGAGAAAAATATAAGCTACATTAGTTCCCTTCCAACAGCACAGTTCTACGATTCCTAGTCCAAAAAGCCATGCTGACAAATATTCTAAAGCAAACCACAACAAGCCACTTGTTGGTATGCCATTAACTGGGGATATGGATGTAGAACTGCAATGGCCGTCTGAATGCATAAGCTGTCCGTGCAAATATGAGACCTGATAAGGTAAAACAGAAAGTCCAAGTCTCGTCTTAGCATCTCTTTTAAAGAATACACTAACCACTCCTGTTTCCTAATTTCCCTGCTGCAGCTGGGGTGATGAGAAAGCACCCCCCCCCAGTTCATCTGCCTTTGGGACATGTGGTTAAAACAAAAATGTAAAATGAAGACATTACTGATTACTAATATCCATGGGATTCCACTTGCCGAATGATCTCTCTTGTCTAACAGCAAACTCAACTAGTGAATGCAAAGGCTAGGTAGCCCAAACAGGGTTATAAGAGAGAGAAATTATTCTGCCTGGGGAGAAACAAAAAAGGTTTTTTTAAGAACTAAAGGGGTAACCCTGCTCCAAAACAAAACACAGACCAATGAGCACTGAGTATACAGAATGTAACAGTTAAGTTGAGTGAATACTTTGTGCTTTGTTCACTGAACCACTGAAGAATTGCGAAAAGGAATTACTTAAGAGGTGCTGCTTCACCATCTCATAGATCATATTTGGGAAAACACACAGCAAGGCATCTCTCCTCCCTGAGGATCTCAGAAAAGGAAACTGATGAAAAATGCTTTGTTCAGACTCACCATGTACTGAATTTTGCAGAACCTGATTTGAACCTGGACATGCATTTTCTAAACATTCCAGGAACTTGCCACAGGCTATTTCTCCCATTTTCTGTATCATTATCAGCAGTTTCCGAATTTTCTTCTTGGAATCCTCCTCGGCTTTGTCTAAGGCCTCATATTCTTCCTCCGTGATAATGGACTTGGAGAATAACTCATCTAGAACAAGTTCTAGGTCCTTCTGGAGGATTTCAATTAATTGTTTTCTCGCCTTGCAGATTATCTCATCACCAGAGACCATCACGGAATCCATTGGTCTGTGGTAGAATAAATGTATTTTATTGATTAATGGAAAAAGGGAAACAAACATTAGAACTAGTAAGTAACTCTTTTCACTCATGCATGCTGATTAAGGAACAATCCAATGCTCACCGTCTCTGCACAGAATGAAATCTTATTGCATTCAATGGCTCTTCCTTCACAGGGAAGTGGGATTGGGAGGACTGCAGCCTGATCTGGCAAACTGTCTGCCTAGCTGCTAGTGAATCTGCGCTCATGGTTCGGAATGACGTTATCATCATGGGTATCTACTACATATTAAACCATCTAATCCATTTTTAGGTTAATAGTCTATGTTCTTAAGAATGTTGGGTTGGGTACTGACTGTCACTCATGGAAGGGGGAGCAGGAAGAAACCTAAACACGTACAGCAGAGTTCCCAAAAAATAGACCAGAGGCAAGAGCTTTACTGCTACTGAAGGCAAATGAGCATAATGGTCACACATCCAATACATTCAGGATTGGCACAGTCCATAAAAATCCAGTTGCAGCTGTGATGAAAAAGTTGGCTTTGCTGGACAGGATGAATCAACAAGTGTTTCTTTTCTTTCCTTTCCCTGCCAGCAAATGGTTAATGAATGGCAGCCTGTGATTGACCGTGGTTCCAGGAGGGAGAGTTTAAAATTTTGATTTGAGGAGCGAGTTGGTCAAAGGGTTAGGAGTTGAAATAAAAAATTAAGGTCTTATGTATATAATAAAGGTTCATAAATGTACCAAGCAAACACGTACATAAATATATAAACCACATGTCTGAAGCGGCACAGGAGAACAGCTATGAAGCCATTTTGACTCCCAAACTGACCAGGTGTTTTCTCTGCAAAGTCAAATGGAAAAGCCTCCCCATTGTCTTTTCCTTCACAAATCCTGTCTTAAGGGTATGCCTGTGTATGAATAGGGTGAGCCTGTGACTTGGCTCAGGAACTAAGTATTTATCATTACAAAAGACTGGCCAGGCTCCCCAGGGTATCAATCAAGTAAGCATTAACAGGTAACTTGCCAGACAGGAGGTAAACAACCCACTCAGATTATGAGGTAAACAAACCACTCAGATTTCTGCTGTAGCCTGCCCTTTCTGTGATGTAGGTATGATGTGTCTGGGGGGTGATTTTAAGCTACACCCATTCTGTGACGTATGTATGATGTTTCTGGGGGTGGTCTTGATCTACAGGGTGGCAATTTCAAAAGTCTTTATAAGGCCTTGTGCGCCACTGTTCTGGGTTCTTCCTCCTTTCCTGCGGGTGAGGGGAGCACCCTGTTGCAACAGTTCAATAAAGATCAGGCTTACTAGCTGCTTTGCTTCTCAAAAATCTCTGGTTGGCCTGTTACATTCTCCGACCGATGGAGAACCTGCAAAGGACCCTAAAAGGGCTCTTGTGTCCCCCATAAGGGAATAAGGGCAGATTTTCGTTTATTACAGAGTTAAGGGAGTAAGAGGGTTGGAATTGAGGGGGACAGGTTGAGGTATAAAGAGTGAATAAGAGAAAGCGTTGGTTCTGGAAAATCAACTTCCACTCTGAGTGGATTGTGAAGGACAGAGTGTGGTGTCCTATAGGAGGAATAGACCTGAATTTTACTGGGAGGTTGAGGTTGAGTCAGGAGAAGTAGGAGCTGGAAAGAAACAGCCTACTTGGGACTCAAATCTAGCCTGGAGGGGAGAAATTCTTCTTAGGAAAAGAAGAAACTCCCAAACCCAATGAAGGGAGGGGGTGCGGAGAGCCCTTTGGTCTATTACAGTGGTACCTTGGGTTACATACACTTTGGGTTACATACGCTTCAGGTTACAGACTCCACTAACCCAGAAATAGTGCTTCAGGTTAAGAACATTTCTTCAGGATAAGAACAGAAATCATGTTCAAGCGGCAGCAGGAGGCCCCATTAGCTAAAGTGGTGCTTCAGGTTAAGAACAGTTTCAGGTTAAGTATGGACCTCCGGAACGAATTAAGTACTTAACCTGAGGTACCACTGTACTTAAAGTACCTCAGGAGTAGAAGTGTTAAAGGGGGTGGATAACTGAAAGAAAGTATCACCGTATAAAGGAACCGAACCTATAACACAAAAACAACCGAGGATGAATTAAAGTGAAATCGCACTGTATTCTTGAAGTAACCGAAGTTTAATCCATTTGTGTTATATACTATCTTGCCTTAAATAAATCTTTTATTGTTTATTTAAAGAAAACCTGTCTGAGACTCCAACTTACTAGTTACCCCCTCACAAAGATCCTCCACAGGATACTCTGGGCTAGAATTTTGTGAGGGAAGGGGGAAAAAAAACCTTTGGGTAAAGGGTTGTTCAGTGATGTGGGGGCAATTCATCTGAGTGAGAGTGGGCCCAGTGGTGTGAGGGGAAAAAGTGACGACACACCTGTCACAGCAGCACTTGATATAAAATTTAGAAACTTATAATAAGACTTAAGCTTAACACTAAGCATACAGAACAGAATATGAGACCAAAGAAAGAGAAAATAAGAGTGAGAGCCAGGCTCCTCCTGGCCTCACTATTATAGTCAGCTCAACCTTGACAGAAACAGCAGAATGAATTTAAACCAGCTGTACACAGTTCCCAGCAGAAATAACCAAAACATCAGAAACCTTCCTGTTTCTCTCACATAGAAATAAACCTTCTAGAACATTCCTGAACTAATCAGAATAGGAAAGATCGCTACACATCAGATCAATACTTTCTGTACTAAGAAATGAAGACTGACACAGGAAAAGATGGCGCCAAAGGCGTTCCTTTCTGCCTTGAGTCCCAGCTTACCTCACTGCAGCGGGCAGGCATTTTCTCCCAACATTAGCAGGAGTCAAAATGTTTTTTAACTCCCCACCCTCTAACCCAGTGAAAATAAAATGAACCCAAAATTTTATTGTTTCTTTTATTTCCTTTATTTATGACTCTGACCTGTATGCCACACTGTCTCTTTTATTTATTAAAATACTTATATTAACCAGGCCTTTGGCTGATTAATATTCTACAGCCTTTTAAATGTGTCTGTAGGAAGGGGAGTGTTATTGTTTTGCTGTTTCGTTTTACTTGTTTACTTGGTTTTATCCTATATTCTGTGAACCGCCCTGGGATGTTATGAGGAAGGGCGGTATATAAATCCAATAAAAAATAAATATATTTATATACTGATGTAACGTAATTCCCTGGGGAGGTCACTTTGGTTCTGCTAACACACAGTTGGGCTTCACCCCCAGAGGTGCACTCCATTGTCTTTTGAGGCAGATGAATGCCAACAATATCACAACAGTTTACAAAAAAACATAAACATAAATAAAACATTATTATAAATCAATATGAATATTTCCTGTGGACATGCCATGGACCATATAAATGAAGGTTGTGAACCACTGCTAATCGATCCACAGACCAGAGTTTGGGAACCCCTGATATAGGAGAAATCCTAAGATCTCTGGTCCAAATCTAGTCATATATTGAGAAAGTTTGCTATGTACACAGCTACAGTTAACTTCTTTAGGGGAAGAATGACTACCTGAGGTTAAAGAGCAACTGAACTATGAACCCATCAGCCTAACCTACTTTACAGGGTGGTTGTGAGCCTAGCTTCCCCGCCCCCATCCTAAATTCACTTTGGAATGAGTTGCTTCCTTCTGTCTCCCTCCCCGATACATTAAGGAAGACATTCTTTTCTTGGATTTTGCTAGCCTCCTATTTTATTTGCACCTTCTAAGCAAGTAAGAGAAGTTCAGTACACGTTTAGCCTCAAGGGGAGAAAACAAGAGACTCTTGATTACTCTTGAGACTGATTTCAAAGTGGATCCCACACCAAGTCTCTGCTTAGTCACTTCCCCTTAACCAAGCGCCACCTTAAGAGGACCCTGAATCTTTTCAGACCAGAAAAATAACAGGCAGGATGGAGAGACGGGCAAAGTCATCACCCCAATTGGGAGAGGATGCTGGTGACACACACAGAGGAGCCTCCAAGTTCAGGTACTCATATGTAGGAGTAAGATCTTTCAAGAGCAACACTGAAGTGATTGAATAATTCAGCCCTAGAGAACAGAATTCTAAAATAAAGTGCCAACTTTTTAAATCAGCCCTGTTCCTAGCCCTTTATTAGCAGACTAATTTGCAAAAAAACAAACAAACCAAGCCAGTAGTCCAGCTTGCCCTCAATGCCAGAAAGGTTTGACAGTGCCTGTTTCTGCAGATCAAGTGGCTGTTTAATGCCCTTGTGATTATTATTTTTTCTAATAAATTTACAACCTTAATGGAGACAGAACCAAAAAAAGAGGGAAGATAACAGCAGTTCTCTAGAGGACCCATAAATCACCCAATAATGTTGTTTTTACAAATCAAAATCTTGATGATAATTTAAGTATAGACATTACCCTTTGATGGTTGTTTCATTAGGAACATCCTCCATCAGACTCCCTTTTGTCTTCTGGGAATAGGATTTCTTTTCAGCTGGGGTTAATTCAGATGTTGATTTCATAAGCTGCATACTGGCTAGATCCTCTGAGGTTTGGAAGAAGGCTGTGCCAAGAAATCAAGAAAGCACCAACAAACATCTTCAGTAACCCTGTACAATTAGATCTCTGCATAAGATGAATGTGTAGAGGGAGTCAGAATCAGGCCCACGGACCCTGGCCCCAACCTTATATTCATGCACTTACAAGCTGTTAAGTGCCTAGATAAAAACTGGAAAATGAGAATTGGCACTATGCATACATATTTTTTTTTAATGAACGCACAGAAATCAGGGTCTTCACTGTCATCTGCACAAGGCTTATGAGCCAAAATATGGTTTATCTATACCTGAGTAATGTCAAGGAAAAAAGAAAATTAATACCAGGTTTTTGCATCAAGAGCCAAGATTCTGCAGCCAGTAGACGTGTTGCAGATTAAACATCCCTGTATATATAATAATTCTGCTTCTAAGTAGTATATATTTGGCTAAGAAGTATATATTTGTTACTCCCCAGATTTCTGTACCCAAAACACCACTACTAAAGTGGTTTACAGCAAGGAAACAAAAGCTGCACACAAAATATATGCTGCACTGGAGTCAGATTTAGATATCCAGTTGTTTTAAGTGACTTTCTTAAAAATTCACTTTTGCTATAGCAAGTCTTCAATTAATTACAACTGGGGCTTTGGCCTACTGAGCAACAACTCATCTCATCCAGAGTTCCCTTTATTGTGGATACAAACCTCCTTTTGAGTTCTCAGAACTCTCCCTTCTCGTGGGAGAACTGCTTGTCCTTTTTCTCTTGGAGCAATCCAGTTGTTGGGCTCCCTCTTCTTCTCTCTTTGATGCAGAGATGCCAGGAATTTCTACTCCACTTCCTGTCCCTTCAGATTTGCCACAGTTCCCATCGCTGGCTCCACTTCCTTTGCTGGAAGACAGAGTGGCACTTGGGCTCTCAGCCCCACTTCCTATCCATGGAGATGAAGAGCTCTCTAGATCCTCATCTCTATCTCGATTCTCTGTGGACATGGCAGCAGCACTGGGGTTCTCAGCTACATCCGGGGCATCTGGAGTCTTGACTTCTCTTTCTTTGCTGGAGAGCAGGAGACTGGCATCTGGGTCCTCAGTGCTGCTTGCATTTCCTGGAAGCATAACAGCATCATCTGGGCTCTGAGATCCACTTCCTGCCTCTGAGGATACAGGAAAACCTATAGTCTCAACCTCTCCTACGCCCTCTTGGGACTGGGAAGCATCCTGGTTTTCAGATCTAGCCAGATCCATGCTCTTGGATCCACTTCTTTCCCCTGAGAATTCAACAGAGTCTGAGACCTGAAGGTCATTCCTGAGATTCAAGTGATCTGAAAGAATCAGATTAAAAAAAACCAAACAAATAACTTTTAGTTTTTCGAATGTCGGTTTTTGTGTGTTGTGTATTGTTATTTTTCGTGTTGTAGTTGTTGTGTGGAAAATACTAATAAAATTTATTGAAAAATAAATAAATAACTAAACGAAAAGGTCAGATTTGGGGGGGGCTCAATACTTCGTCATTACAAATTCAATTTCCTTCCTTTTACAATTAACTGAAAGTGATGCCCAATGACTCCTGTTGAAGCAGTGTAGATAAAAACCAATGCTTTTTAAAAAAATATTTTTAAAAAAAAATCAGATTTTTTAATTTAAATTTCATTTTTAAAATAAAATGCTTTTGGGGGAAAAATCTTTCTAAAGATAGTTTCCTGTTTAAGTTGCATTATAGTCCAAAGAATCAGGAAATAAGGATTTGTTTTAAGTTTTTCATGCGTGCTAAAACTCTGTCTAAGTTGTTTTTTAAAAAAGTTGTTTAACCACATCAGTTAACAAACATGGATACATATGCTATAATGTTATTGTTTTCGTTAAATAATTTTTAAAAATTGTTACTAAGGAAATGATTAGTTTTCTCCTTCCAGTAATGTACAGCAGAAAAGTTATCCAAATATAAACAGCTAACTTATTAAACCTCAAAATAATTTTGTAATTATCTGTCCATGTATTTCTAATAGTATAACCAAATCAGTAATTTTTGATATAACTGTAAAAACTACTCTGAAAATTTATTATTCCAAAAATGAAACCTTCATCTGGTTGTAAATATTAAGATTATACTAGCAAGAATGAGTCTTTCTGGAAAAAAGAAGATTTAAATCAAGTCTTACTGACTAGTAATTTAAATCGATTTGATTTAAATCAAATCCACCCTGTGTTGAAGCAAAATCAAAAGCATCTGAGAGATCTTGGAGAACTATCAGGCTTGCCTTCCCCTTACCTTTTTCCCAGCACAGGTCAGCTGGCAGAGAAACTCATTGCCATAACTGAGCTTGAAAACCAAGCCAAACCACACACAGTTATCCTGGCAACCTTCCAAATCCCTGACCTGGGATGAGAGGAAGGACAATTTTCTTGCATTGCCAAAGGCCCTCAATCCCCCTGTATTGATTGTTTCTTAATGGCTCTAGCTTGGCCAGGTCGTTTTGCATAAATTAGTTCAGGAATTCCTCTGCAACTTGTATTTCTCCCTTCACATCCCAAATAATCAAAATCCTACCATTTATTAATTTCTATGGTGTGAGGGAGGTCCCCCAAACTTATAATCATGTAAACGAAAGTTCACAAAAGCAGCACTAACAGCTTTGGACGAAATTCAAGGCGCAAGAGGACTTCAAGACATAGAGAATTTGGTGCTGCTGCAGGTGAGAATGTAACCCTTAGGAAAAACAGAAAGCACCTCCAGGTTTTAAAAAGTGTTACTCACCATCTTCTACATATTCAGAAATAGGCTGAAGGCTTGGGAAGGCTTGCCTCAGGTTTTCCAGGCAGTCCAAGAACAGTTCCTGAGTTGATTCTCTTTTCCCCAGCACTAACTCGATCAGGCATTCCACAAATGCTTGTGGATCCTTTATTTCACTCAGGGAGAAAAACTCCCCCTGTGTGAGGAGCAGGTGGGAATCTGCCACATCCAAGATCAGCTCTGAGTCTATTAAAAGAAGATCTTCTGCTAATTTCCTTCTGGCCCTCCATATAATTTCAGATGGGTTCCTACCGGAAAATGCCATGGCTTCCAAACCGGTAGCCCTAAAATTGTTGAAGAATGAACACACACTGTCTTTGTATAAACAGCATTTCAAGAAGGCTCTCTAAGGATTTGGAGTAATTGATCCAGCAAATGTCCGACACCAAACCTGTAATTCAACAGAGAAAGCACCTGTATGATATCGAGCGACAGAATAATCTGGCCACAATTTTTGTCCATGGTATGGTTATTTTCCACCTAGTCATTTTGACACCCTAGTTGAAAAATGTAACAATTCCAAAATACAGACGTGCTTTCACTTTAGCAAGACTGAATACGCTGCCTTTGGTTGTACCAGAGGGTCGATTTCAAACAATTCCACTGGAAAAATGGTTATGTGCCTGTGGAGATGGCAGTATTGAGTCAGTGACTCATGTGCTTCTGGCCTGCCCTCTTTATAAAGATTTGAGGTTATTATTACCCCTCTATTATTGTCTATGCTGGGCCACTCAACCATTGCTACTGTGTCCTTCCTTGAGCAGATCAAGATGATCAGGTGACAGCGAAAACTGCAAGGTTTTTAGCGGGGGCAATTAGAATAAGATCTATTATTAGATTACAGTGATCCATGCGATGGTCACCTCCAGGCTTGACTACTGTAATTCGCTCTATGTGGGGCTGCCCTTGAAGCTGTCCCAGAAACTCCAGCGGGTGCAAAATGCTGCAGAGAGGCTCCTCACGGGATCTCTGCCATGGGAGCATATTCACCCAGTGCTTTTCCAGCTGCACTGGCTCCTGGTGGAGTACAGGGTCAGATTTAAGATGCTGGTTTTGACCTTTAAAGCCCTTCATGGCCTAGGACCCTCGTACCTACGGGACCGCCTCTCCCGGTATGCCCCACGGAGAGCCTCAAGGTCCATAAATAGCAACATCCTAGAGGTCCTGGGCCCTAAGGAAGTTAGATTAGCTTCAACCAGAGCCAGGGCCTTTTCAACACTGGCTCCGGCCTGGTGAAACGCTCTGCCTCATTAAGACCAGGGCCCTGCAGGATCTGATTTCTTTCCGTAGGGCCTGTAAGACAGAGTTGTTCCGCCTGGCCTTTGGCTTGGAGCCAATTTGATTCCCCCCCCCTCTTTCTTTTTTCTTTCTCCTCCTGTGATGAGGCTGCATTTTAATATTTTAATGTTTCAATATTTTAATTGTTATATTTTAATCTTGTTTTTAAGTTGTATTCATTCAACTTGCTATTATTATTGCTTGTTAGCCGCCCTGAGCCCAGCCTTGGCTGGGGAGGGCGGGGTATAAATAAAAATTATTATTATTATTATTATTACTGATGTAAACCTCCAAAATGTATTTTCTATAGTTAACGTTTAAACCTCTATCTTCAGTACATTTTATTTCATTGCTATGGCTAGTGGCTGAGGGAAATAAAGACTTTTCTTCTTCTTCTGATCCAGGAAATGCTAATTGAACTATTTCCCCATCCTGAGCATTTATTTATTCAAGATGGGGCCTGCCACTAGCAGGATATAAGAAATCTGACTGAGTGAGCATTCACTTTCAATAGATTAAGTGGATATCCTCACAAATGAGTGGTTTGCCTGTTGTTACTGTCTAGCAGTATAGATTAGCTGCAACAAAGGCTACAAATAGCACGATTAGATTAACATTACCACCTTCCTTTCTGGTGGGGGTTCTGTGCCTTTAGAAGCTAAGTCATGGGTGGAAATTCAACAGGTTCTGCTCTTCCAGCACAGCATTGAGAAGCTGCATGTGTTGGTATCTGCCTGTTAGGCAGTTATTCAAGGCTTAGAGATTGTGTGCAAGCTTTTTGGGGGGCGGGGGGGGGGGCATCGCCATTGTTTATAATATATTCAAAATAATATGCCAATCCTGAAATATAATAAATTATTTTAAAAACAATTCCAAATATAAAGCTTATCTACAGCTTTAAGATTGCTTTTAAAGGAGCAGAAAATCTAAAGTTTTCAATAAAAATGTTCAAACTTCAAAGGAAGCCCAACTACTGTGCAAAAATGAATCCAACCGTAATTTGGCAAGGGGGGTTGACAATAAAAAGCTACTGAAAATGTATATGCTTAGGGAAGCTTTTAATATTTAATAGACTATTGTATTTTAATATTCTGTTGAAAGCTGCCCAGAGTGACTGGGAAAACCCAGCCAGATGGGCGGGGTATAAATAATAAATTATATTATTATTATTTACACATAACTGTTGTACAAAAACTTGGGAGCACCAAAACACAATGCTCTGATGAACATTAAATATTCGTGTTCTCAAGTTTGTTGTGCTAATTTAGGATTGCACTGATATATGTTTGTCAAATTTACACCCCCTTCCTTCCTCCAAAATTTCATTGATTTTCTTGCATCTCGAGGAGCAAGGCTTCTTGTTTATCAGAGTATTTAATGCTACCGGTAACTTGTATTTTTGCAATTGCTACTTGTTTTAGCTTTCGAATTGGCTTTTATCTGAGAACTGACTTTGTACCTCTGAATTATTAGCCGTGAAAGACGGCTAATCTGTTTTCACACAAGCATACACAAAATCCACCTATGTTTTTCTGTTTATTGCAAGCAGAGGTTAAGGAATATGGTCAGTAAAAATTATATTTGACAACCTAAATCATCAAAATTAAATGCATATACTTACGTGAGATGTAAAGCGCAGTGCCTACGTTCGTTCCCTGCGAGTTAAGTTTCTATGCTTTGCGCTTTCGCTTTTCCTGTAAACGACCCCACCTCTAGAGAACAGAAGAAACGAAACTGAAGGTAGAAAAAAAAAGAAACACGTTTAACCGTTTCTATGACTAGATGGGCTGGGAGGAGCTGGGAGGAGATTGTGCTATTGGCTCTGACTGATTGCTTTGTCATTGTTACTTATTAGTTCATACCGTTGTTTATACACATTATATCCAATTGCTTTAAGTTGCTTTAAATTTCATCTTCTGTAAGTTGCTATATCTTGTTTTATTTTCTATCTACAAATTCAACAGTCTTTCATAATACCAGTGAACTTGTAGACCAATAAACTGAGTGATATGTTTAAGTCACAATCCATTTCTGTGGTCTTACTGGTTCCACTTGGTTCCTTCTGAGCAAATTAGAACCTTGAATGAAGGTTAATGCATTGGCCAGGATTTGGCACGATATTTGGATCTCCAAATAAACAATGGCCACCTGTCAATCAAACCCACTTGGATCACCGGTGCTTAAAATGCCACCATTTCCAAACTTCTTTGTCTCTCTTGACCCCACTCAAACTACAACTGCTGCTCGAAGCCAACAGCACCAGAGGTGGCAACTACTTTTTGCTGTGTTAACTTGTGCATGGACAATTAGACCAATGTTCTGATATAGGGTTTTATTTCCATTTTGCTCTGCATATTATAGAATCATAGAACCATAGAGTTGGAAGAGACCACAAGGGCCATCGAGTCCAACCCCCTGCCAAACAGGAAACACCATCAGAGCACTCCTGACATATGGTTGTCAAGCCTCTGCTTAAAGACCTCCAAAGTAGGAGACTCCACCACACTCCTTGGCAGCAAATTCCACTGTCGAACAGCTCTTACTGTCAGGAAGTTCTTCCTAATGTTTAGGAATCTTCTTTCTTGTAGTTTGGATCCATTGCTCCGTGTCCGCTTCTCTGGAGCAGCAGAAAACAACCTTTCTCCCTCCTCTATGTGACATCCTTTTATATATTTGAACATGGCTATCATATCACCCCTTAACCTCCTCTTCTCCAGGCTAAACATGCCCAGCTCCCTTAGTCGTTCCTCATAAGGCATCGTTTCCAGGCCTTTGACCATTTTGGTTGCCCTCCTCTGGACACGTTCCAGTTTGTCAGTGTCCTTCTTGAATTGTGGTGGCCAGAACTGGACACAATACTCCAGGTGAGGTCTGACCAGAGCAGAATACAGTGGCACTATTACTTCCCTTGATCTAGATGCTATACTCCTATTGATGCAGCCCAGAATTGCATTGGCTTTTTTAGCCGCCGCGTCACACTGTTGGCTCATGTCAAGTTTGTGGTCAACCAAGACTCCTAGATCCTTTTCACATATCGTTTGGGATAAGCTGCTGAATTGGATATCTCAGCTATGCCGAACTCTGGACGCACTCAAGGGGTGTTTTCTCCCCCATCTCCTCCATCTCTCAGTGCTTGGGATAGCGGGTGGGTGGATAGATTGAAGTAGGCAAGCAGGAGATTTGGGATTCATCTGGATGCTTCCCTGCTCCAGAGGAGATCCATTTAATGATTTAATTTACCAAAATTGGGAATGCCTAAATGCTTTACTTTGTGTGTTTAATTCTAGAATGCTCCCCAGTAACTCTTGTGTGATTAAAATAAATAAAAAAATGTCCAGTAGCACTGTAACGGTAAAGGGACTCATGACCATTAGGTCCAGTCGCAGACAACTCTGGGGTTGCGGTGCTCATCTTGCTTTACTGGCCTTGGGAGCCGGCGTACAACTTCCAAGTCATGTGGCCAGCATGACTAAGCTGCTTCTGGCGAACCAGAGCAGCACACAGAAACGCTGTTTACCTTCCTGCCAGAGCAGTACCTATTTATTTACTTGCACTTTGACGTGCTTTCGAACTGCTAGGTTGGCAGGAGCAGGGAACAAGCAGGGATAGAGGAGAGCTAATGTTTCCCTGTGAATGTACCATATTGGCCCGAATACAAGCCACACCTTTAAAATTGGAGAAGCCAACCCTTCTCGCATTGTCCGGAGCCAAGCCTTCTCCCAAATTTGAGGACCTGCAAAATGTTTAGTTTGGACATAGCTACCGCTCCACGGATGGGACTTGCAAGCCAAGTTTCTTGAGGCCAGCTCCACACAGATATCAGCAGCAGTAACATTGGAGTTGGCATGGTGATCAAGAGCTCACCTCCCAGGTTGAACAAGCAGCAGCGGGAAGATACTGTTGCACGCCGCCCCAATCTCCGAGAGGTGCAAGATTCCAGGAGTTCTGGGCCAGGGTTCATGTTTTGGGGATGAGGCACTCAACTCTGACCTTTTGTCTTTCCAACTATCCAGGGAGGGAGGCTGGCAAGTTCCCTTCAGGCAGAGCTTTCCAAACGTTTCATGTTGGTGACGCACTTATTTGACATGCATCATTTTGTGACACAGTAGTTCAGTTTTTACTAGCAAACCGGAGGTTCAGCTAACCCCTTTCCAGCCCCAGGAGGAGCGCATGGACACATGACACACTAACATGTCACAACACACAGTTTGGGAAACTCTGCCTTAAGGACTCCTGCTGTGGACCATTGCCAGGCTGACTGGCTATTACAGCCTTTGCATCCATGCTGCATCCAGGAATTAGAAGGGGCAGGCATTTAGCCTACCCCCCCCCAAAGTCATAACAATATATAGCCAGCAGAGGATTAATTCTTCCTAAAGGTAAAGGGACCCCTGACCGTTAGGTCCAGTCGTGGCCGTCTCTGGGGTTGCGGCGCTCATCTCGCTTTATTGGCCGAGGGAGCCGGCGTACAGCTTCCAGATCATGTGGCCAGCATGACTAAGCCGCTTCTGGTGAACCAGAGCAGCGCACGGAAACGCCGCTTACCTTCCCGCCGGAGTGGTACCTATTTATCTTATTGCACTTTGACATGCTTTTGAACTGCTAGGTGGGCAGGAGCAGGGACTGAGCAACGGGAGCTCACCCCATCGTGGGGATTCGAACCGCCGACCTTCTGATCAGCAAGTCCTAGGCTCCGTGGTTTAACCCACAGCGCCACCCGCATCCCTTCCTAGGCAGCAGCAAAAGGAGGATCAGCATGGACAGCCATCATTTTACTCATCTCCAAAGTGTGCTTAATGGGGATTAATTAAGGGATTAATGGGGAGGCAGTCTGCAATCATCCACCTGTGACCACTTGCCTGTTGAACTATATCCCAGCAATGACATACAGTACCTTTTCTTCCCCAGGGCTGAGGCCCCAGCTTATTTCCCACAGTCTATTTTCAAACAATTTGATCATTGATATGGTTAATAAATGGTATTCTTAAAGAAGGGTGTGTACACATGTGTGTGTGTGTGTGTGTGTGTGTGTGTGCGCGCGCACACACACACACACACACACATATTCTAGATGTCATCTTTGGAATTCCCTCCAAGCTCCTAGTTTTAGATCCACAATAAGGGATTCTATAGGGGAAACACTGCTAAAAGTGGCTGTACCAGCCACGTTGTTAATAGCCGCAGCCAAGTCTGTTAAATATCTCTTTGCTTGACTAAAGATGCTTCCAGAAGGTTGAACTGAGTAGACAGCCCTCCCTCCCTCCCTCCCTCCCCAGCTGGGATGTCATCAGTTAGTGGAGCAGAATAGGCTCTCAGCTTGGACTGGGCTGGAAAAAAGACACAAGAGGCATGGGTGTAGCTGGGGGGGCAGCTGTCCCCCCTAAATCAATAAAAATACATGGATAACTTGAGGTTCTCCCCTCCAAAAAAACATCCTGCCTTTGCCCATGCACAGAAGTTTAACTTCCTCTCTTCCAGCTATGAAACAAAGTGTTCTGCTTCTCTACGTCCTGGAAGTAGTTGGCTATCCCTGGTCATGTTTATGCAAAGGAATATGTTGCCTTCGTATCCTCTGTCTGCAGCATTATTTCTCCCACCACTGTTAAATACAAGATATGATGGATATTCAGTCCTACTTTATTAACAAGGCAAACAGGCTAGACCATGGAGATTACAGAGTGTTCGCTAGACTTGGGAATTTGCACTTTTTTATTGGAGTATCACAGCAAAAAATAAAATAAAAATCCCTCTAACACAGTGATGAGGGCAGAGGGAAACCCTTCGTCCTGATGCCTGATTTTTTTTCTTTTTTTAAAAAAAGTTGATGGTAACGGAAAGATCGAGTGGAGAGAGGGAGGACGGAAATAATACATCATTGTGCAGCGAAGGGGAAGAACGTTCTGGAATCCCACACCATTTGCGGCAAAGGTGCCAACTTGGTGTGGTGAAAGTCTTTTCCTCTCAAGGTGAGGGGGGTGTTTTTGGTGCTTGTGCAACGGAGAAATCCTTCCCTGGCGGAAGACTGCTGTCATGCTTTTGGTTCCCCCAAAGAGTGTGCAATAGAAACTTCTCCCCCGGCAGAAGGAAGGGGGGGTTTCTTTTGGGGCTGGGCGCTGCAAGGAAAGTCTTTCCTGTGAGTTCAAGAACGGCCCGAGGGGGCCAAACGAGAATCAGTACATGCGACAGTAAAAGCTTCCGGCTCACCCAATCTTTGTATCCACGAAAAGAAACAAGAGAAAAATTAGGCCGCACAAGAGCCTGGATGAGCTGGCTGTGTACAACAGTTGTATAGCGGCTTTAGAAGTTCTCAAAGGGGAGAGGATGAACGATGTCCACAGGCTGTCCCAGTAGATCTGGATTCAAGAGGTCTGTGGTTAACCACAGAGCACGCCCACCCATCCCAAAGGGACTGGAATAACCAGCAGTAAGTGGATGACATCCCATCAGCAATTGTACAGGAAGAAGGAAACTACGTCAACTATTTTCTCAGCTTCAGTAGGATAGCATAGCACATTCGTAGGAATCCATAGGAGAACAAGCAGATCCATGGGAAATTAGGTCTGGTGTCATGTGCTGAAACTTCCTCCTGCAGCCAAGGAAGGTTCAGCCCACACGAGAGAGAGGGGATCTTTAGATGCGGAAGCTCTCCTCTTTGCCATCAATGTGCTTGAGGCGCAGGTACACATCGGTGCCAATCCCCTGCATAGACTGGAGGGTCAGGGAGCCACCCAGATACTCGGCATAAGCACGGGACGTCGGTAGTCCAAATCCAAACCTAGAGAGAGACAGGACGGACAGACAGAGGAGTCCTTAGTTCCATAGCCAATTTCACAGGGAGAACAAGGTCCAGTTGACTGGAGGGGGTCTGGAAGGAATATAGTGGTACCTCTGGATGCGAAAGGGATCCGTTCTGGAGCCCCGTTCGCATCCAGAGCAGAACTCAACCTGC